TGTTAAGCACTGCTGTGATGTGAGGAGGGTATTGCAGCTGACTGTGACCATGAGCCAATCTCTGGCAAATCCAAACAGAGGGACACTACACAAACACCTGGGGCCCAGCACATAGCCTAGTAGCTAAAATCCTTGCCTTTCATCTGCCAGGATTCCATATAGGCACCAGTTCATGTCCTGGCTGCTCCACTTCCCATCCAGCTCCCTGCTTGTGCCCTGGGAAAGCAGTCAAGGATGACAGAAAGTCTTGGGACCCTGTACCCACACAGGAGATGGAAGAAGCTCCTGGTTCCTGGCTTTGGATTGACTCAGCTCCAGTCTTTGTGACCTCTTGGGGAGTGAACCAGTGGATAACGATCTTTCTGTCTCTTCTTCTTTCTGTGAATGTGCCTTTCCAAGAAAATAAATACACCTTAAAAAAAAAAATCTGGCCCGTATTGTTCCAAACCATCAAGATCACTAAGATAGCAACCAACAAACCAGGAAGCCCTCACAGCTGTCACAGACCACAGTGCCATGACTCAAGAGCCAAGACAATCAACCACGAAACAGAGGGCAGGAATGCAGAGCAAACCTGGTGAAATCCGAGTGAGGTTCACAGTGTAGCTGCTAATAGTGAAGCGATGTTGGCTTTGTGGCTTTAGCTAGTATGTCATGGTCATTGAAGGTGGTGACACTGGGAGAGACTCTAACTGGATGAGGAAGTTCTTGAGCTGTGTTTGCAACTTTAACCCTGTTTATATAACTTTTAAAAAAAATCACTCCTCCAAACACAATGCTCACTTTAGTGGCCTAAAAACTCAAAGGTCCCTATTAGGACACAGCTAGAATGTCTTGTATTTGTGGTGTATGTATTGGTGATGTGGTCAGTTTAAGAGAAGGCCCATGGGCTGCCCCTATCTGATCTTTATGAAGAGAATCTAAGTTGGCACTGAGCTCAGTGATCTGTGATGACCCCCTGAGTGAACTCTGGCCAATGCCATGGTGTTGGAAGTGGATGATATTGCCAAGGATTCTCCATCAGAGAAATGTGCACGAACTTCTCTCCCTCCTTCATGCTTGCTGGGGAGATACATCATGACCAGCAACAGAACGTGAGCCTGTTGATGATTTTTAAGATTTTTTTAAAAGATTTATTTATTTATTGGAAAGTCAGATATACAGAGAGGAGGAGAGACAGAGAGGAAGATCTTCCGTCTGATGATTCACTCCCCAAGTGAGCACAACGGCCAATACTATGCCGATCCGAAGCCAAGAGCCAGGAACTTCTTCCGGGTCTCCCACATGGGTGCAGAGTCCCAAAGCTTTGGGCTGTCCTCGACTGCCTTCCCAGGCCACAAGCAGGGAGCTGGATGGGAAGTGGAGCTGCTGGGATCAGAACCGGTGCCCACATGGGATCCTGGGGCATTCAAGGCAAGGACCTTAGCCACCAGGCCACGCTGCCGGGCCCAATTTTTAAGATTTTTAAAAAGGCATCTCTTTGGAACAGGAGGAGGAAAGGATGGAGGGAGGGAGAGAGCGCGGGTGTGTGTGTAGCAGAGAGAGAGAGGGAGAAAGTGCTTTCGTTCTCTGGTTCTCCCCCCAGATGCCTGTAGTGACTAGTACTGGGAGCTGGTGATGCAATGCAATCTCCTACTGAGCCCTCGCTGTGACCTCCCAGGGGCTGCCTGAGCAGGAAGTCGGAGTCAGAAGCCATGGCAGGGCAGCAAAGCCAGCCCTCTGCTGTGGGATGCACGCATCTTTGCTGGCCTCACCACCGCTGGACGGCTGCTCCTCACATCCAATTCTGATTAACGTAGGATCACCCATGTTCATTTTTTAAGTGAGAAATCCAGAAAGCACATATGAGTAGTTGGAAGAAAATAAGTCTGACCTATAATTCTGCCACATAGAGACAGCTTGTTTTGACATATATGGCTTCACTTAGGAGATAAATAGAAAATACAAGATTAAAAAAGAGAAACTCAACTCATAGGAGCTTATGCGTTGATTGTTGTATTTTACTGTTGACACAGTATTATATTTCGAATACTTATCTAGATGTTTTCGAAAATATGATTGTGATGTGTGTGTAATATCTGTTGTGGTGAGGAGCGATCGAGAGGGTAGCAGAACTGTGACTTGAAGCTGACGGTGCCCTAGCGTCCCTGACGAGGTTTTGTTTTGTTCTGTTTTGTTTTTAGAAAGATTTATTTATTTTAATGGAAAGGCAGATATGCAGAGAGGAGGAGAGACAGAGAGAAAGATCTTCCGTCCGATGATTCACTCCCCAAGTGACTGCAATGGTCAGAGCTGAGTCGATCCCGAAGCCAGGAACCAGGAGCTTCTTCCAGGTCTCCCACATGGGTGCAGGGTCCCAAGGTTTTGGGCTGTCCTCGACTGCCTTCCTAGGTCACAAGCAGGGAGCTGGATGGGAAGCAGGGCCGCTGGGATTAGAACCCATGCCCATATGGGATCCTGGCGCATGCAAGGTGAGGACTTTAACCACCATGCTATTGTGCCGGACCCCAGACGATGTTTTAATCGCTGTCCCACAGGTCAGCTTCAGTGTCTGGGCCTACCCCTAATCTTAACCCTAACAGAGTCTGACAGATTGTCTAAGACTTGGGTGACAGTTAAGGAGTGATTACTAACGACAGTGGTATCTAGTTGTCAAGCACTCACTAGAATCCAAGCCCTACGCTGAAGATGTCAGATGCATGTTAATGTTAATCATCCTGATAATTCTAAAAGGTAAGTCATTAATTTATCCCCACTGAAAAACAAAATAAGATTTGGGGCCAGTACAGTGGCACTTCAAGATAGTCCTCTATTCTGTGGCTCCAGCATCCCATATGGGCACTGGTTTGTGTCCCAGATGTTCCACTTCTGATCCAGCTCCCTGCTTATGGCCTGGGAATGCAGTAGAAGATGGCCCAAGTCCTTGGGACCCTGTACCCATGTAGGAAACCCAGAAGAGGCTCCTGGCTCCTGGCTTTGGCTCAGCTCAGCTCCAACCACTGTGGCCATCTGGGTAGTGAGCCAGAAGATGGAAGACCTTCTCTCTCCTCTCTTTGTAAAATATGCCTTTCGAATAAAAATAAATAAATATTTATAAAAAATAAATAGAAAATAAAAAGGTTTATTTGTTTTACTTGAAATTCAGAGTTACAAAGAGAGAGAGAGAAACACAGAGATCCTCCATCTGGTTCACTCTCCAAGTAGCTGAAGTGGCTAGAGCTGGGCTAGACCGAAGCCAGGAGCCGTGCACTTCTTCTGGGTCTCCCACCTAGAGGCCGGGGCCCAGGGATATGGGCCATCTTCTGCCTCTTTCCTCTCCTATAAGCAGGGAGTTGGATCAAAGGTGGAGCAACTGGAGCTAGAACTGAGGCCCATATGGGATGCTGGTGTCACATGTGGAGGATTAGCCTGATCCACCACCATGCTTGCTTCAGTTTATAAGAAAGGTGCCTCGGTTTCTGAGAGCCCTTGGAGCTGCATTATGCCCTCGACAGGTGGCATGTGTCATAGATCAGACATCACACAGGTCATGCCAAGTCAACTGCTGGACATAGAGTGTTGGTCCCAAAATTTGAGGATTCACTACAGCCTTTCTTAGGTCTTTTATTGCTGAGTCAACATGCCTTCCCACTCACTCTGTCTAATGTGTTCAGAAAAACAACAGAAAAGGTAGGATGTCTTGTCATAAAGCCGGGAAAGGTTGAGCTACTTAGGGGAACCGCTTCTAAACAACATCTTCTATGCATAAGCTGAATACAATCAAGACTGAATAATTTATATTTTCCTATTGACAGCAAAGACTATTTTCAACTTTCTTTTAAAAAAAAGACATTCCTTTACATGCTCACACATACACACCACATGCAAGGCACACATGTGCACATGTCACATACGTGCACATAACCAGACACGCACACACACCACACGCAAGCACATGTACCATACACCACAGACACATGTGCACACATGTCATATACACACCAGACATGCACACACATCACACATACCACACGCGTGCACACATGTCATGTACACACACCAGACACACACACATACCACGTACATGCATACATACCATGCACACACATACACCACTACTTAAATGCCTTGTTGCCTACTCCCAGAGCCCATGTCTTCAGGCTTGGTGTAGGCCTGAAGTGCTGGGGACAGCTCCTGGTAGCAGGTGTAAATAACACATCTCTGAAAGCTTTCTGGATAATTTCAAGTCTTTCCAGCCGACTTCTTGTCAGTCCTGATTACTTGATGGTGACTATTTTTAACCTCGTACCTTGGCAAGGGATGTGTCAGGTTTGCTATTTTCTTGTTCACATGCAGTTGCTTTGTGAGTGTTGTTTTTGATCCCAGGTCCCTTAGAAGGTCCAATTGGATAGCATTTGTCCACTCAAGAGGGTTACCTACGCTAAAAGGAGGTGATGCACTCTATAAATCCAGGGTATCGAGGGCCTGTCAGGCTGCGTGTTGCTACCAAGGACACTGCTGTGAGCTGCTCTGAGCTGTGGAGCCCTGCCCAAGCCCCAGCTTTGTGGGTGTCTTGTGGGTAACATGTGGTCATCCTGTGTCGGGGGTGAGACTGCCAGTGTCACTCCAATCATGAGAACATTTGCATAAGGGGCCGACATTTGGCACAGGGTGCTTAGTGGTCTGGGTCCTGGCTCTCCTGCCTGTTCAGGCTCCCTGCTAACGGCACCAGGGCAGGCTGCAGGTGACAGCTCAGGAGCCAGGTCTCTGCCTTCCGCCTGGAAGACCTGCCCTGAATTCCCACTGCTCTGATTCGAGTTGGTCCAGTCCCAGTTGTTGTGAGCGTTTGTATAGTGAACTAGTGGATGGACAATTTGTTTGTCTGCCTTCTAGATAAAAATAAACTAAATTAAAAAAAAATTTTTTTAATGCTTGGGTGAAATCTATTCACATTGCAAGATGGATCAATGGGTTTTAAAGCAACAGTGCACTAAAAACTCATGGATACCATGTTTTTTCAGATTCCACACTGCAATCAAATGGAAAGCTTGAACACGAGACAAAGCTCCTCCCTGTCCAGTGCCGACTACGCATGAAGCTGAACTCCTTCCTTTGCTACGGCCAGTCATAGACCACAGCACGCGACGTGCACACACAGGTACGAGAACTTGACTTTCTATTAGTCCAGATGTTAAGATTTATAAAAACAGAAATAGTTTTCTGACTATAATTTTTTCTTAGGAAAGTACACATACCCAAGTAGCCCCTTTGTCCACTGTGTCACAAGGGTAGCCTGAAGTCTGTGGGCTGTGTAAGAGTTTACTCTTGGTGTTGTTCATCCTGTGAGTCTAGATGCATGCGTGATGATGTAAGTCCATTTAATATTGTTTACATAGTTGAGAGGGATGCATGCCCACATGAGCCTCTGATTAGGACAAGGAAGGCCAGGTACCAAGGAAGGTGGGTGGAACATATGCTTCAGGGTTTTTTTTCTCCTGGAGCAGTGGGGTGGCGGGGGTGTCATCCCTTGTTGTCAAACTACATCAGCACACAGGGAATGGAGGACAGTCAGTTGGTGACACCTTTGGAACCCTGATGTGGGGAAAAATGTTCTGAGTGGTTTCTCAAGAATGTTACTTGAGTGGTTTTAATAATTCTGAGAAGTTGTTGGCTTCATTGTTCCAGGGTTGAGAAAATCTTTCCAAGGTCTACTGGCTGACAAAGTCCACCTTAGTGCATCCATAGACCCAGGAACATGTTGCAAAGCTTGGCCAGGAGAATTGTCCAACCTGTTCTGCTTTTCATCCTCTAATGAGGCAGCTGACATCCTCTGCTGGCCTAGATAAGCTGGTGTTAATTTGCCCTGTGTGTATTTGGACATGATGTCCACTGCGCAGGCATCAGCCACTGAGGAGGCCCAATACATGTACTCCAAGGTTGGACCACACATCCTGTGAGTTTCCCTGTAGCCAGGGTCTGAGTACAGCAGTCTTGTTGGGGAGGCCCCCAGGAAAACTTGCACAGGGTGACTTCAGACTCAATTCTTGTGCACTCCAGCCAGGGTAAGGTGAGATGAGGTCTGTTACCTGCTCTAGCCAATGCATATACTGGTGGATGCAGCTGCCTGGTTGGTCAGTTCTGCTCCGGCACCATACATCACACAAACTGATGGGTGCTGTGTTCCATCCCAGTCACTGTGCCATAGACATGGTCCTCATGTATAACAGTGGGTGCTACAGTTAGGTTGGGACAACCCCCCAATACCCTCCATCAGGCTGCCCCCAGTCCTGTATTTTGCATGTGCCAGCCTCTGCTGTGGCCTAGCCTGCCCAGCCTGTATCCCATTCAGTTCTCTTTGGCAAGCACCCACTCAGCCCCATGCCAGACCTGGCCTTCACATGTGTCAACAGGTGCTGCTGCCTTGTCCAACCTGGCCTGCCCCCAGGGTCCTTTTCCTTGTGCTCACCAATGATAGGTATGGCCAGGCAGGGGAATGCCCAGAGTTCCCCTGCCAGGCATGTTCCCAGCCCTAGATCTTGTACCTGCCAGGGGGTATTGCAGTCCAACCTGACGTGACTCACACTCAGTTCTGGCACTTGCCAGCTGGGGTTGTGGCCTAGCCTGGCTGGCTTACATCCATTGGCCCTCGTGCATGCCAGTGGGTACAGCAGCCTAGTCCAGCCTGGCCTGCCCCCAGACAGGCTCACATCCAGTGTCAGATCTCACAATCACCAGTGGAAGCAGTCCAGGAAGGGAGTCCCTGAAATTCCCCTACCATCCCAGCCACGGGCACACGGACGCTCTTCACTATGTTCTGCCAGTTCAACCGTCTTCACTTCCAGACTCCAGCAGTCACTAATATTTTTCCTTATTTTGTAGTGCCGCCTGTGCTAGACTATAGCCTCATTATTATTTTAAGAATTTGCAGCATTTTCGACTGTATGCATTGGTCGTCATTTATTTGATCAGTCAGCTATTGATGGACATTTAGCTAATTTCCAAGCTTCTGACATGACCAAGCTGAGTGGAATAAACTGGTACAGTGTAATTCCCATGCGTGACAATGGGAAAACCATAAGAAGACCGCAGGTCAATGGTGTGCGTACTCGGTACTCCTCTTACTGCTGCCAAATTGTCTCATCAGTGCTGTATCAAGTTTGCCTGTAAGGACTGTGTGACGTGTTTTGCTGAATCATTGCCATCCTAGTGTGTTATCAGTCTTTCTTTTTACCAGCCTGGTGGGTTAGACATAATGTTGCCTGAGTTTGAATTTGTATTTCTTTAGTCAGAGTCAAGTTCAACATTTTCATTTGTCAGCATTTCATCAGGTTTCGTTGGTTTCTTCTCTGTGAATCACTTGCTTAAATCCTTTATACACTTCTCCACTGTGCTGTCTTAAAAAATACGAAGAGTCATTTATCTTTTTGATGATTTTTGAGAGGCAGAAAGAGTGAGCCCCTATCCACTAGTTCACTTCCCAAATGCTTGCAACAACTGGGATTGGGCCAAAGTTGAGAGCCTAGGCATTCACTCCGGGTCTCCTGTGTGGAGGACACTCAGTCACTTGAACCATCACTCCTCCCTCCCGGGGCCTGCATTCACAGCACACTGGAGTCGGGGTGGGGTCTGCTATCAAACACAGGCATTTTGCCATGCGATGTGTTTTTTTTTTAACTTCTTTTTGTTAAAATTATTATTATCATTTTATGATACAGTCCATAGGCCCTGGGATTTCCCTTCTCACCTCCCCAAGTCACAATGTGAGTGTTTTAACACCTTGGCTAGACACCTGCCCTCGTCTTAGTACCTTGTATGTCTTTTTGGGGTACATTTTATTTCCTGTACTTGTTTTCTCACTGGTGTGTGTGTGGTCAGACATATTGCACAAATGCAGCTGTTACCTGTACAAGGCAGACTTCACCTTTCTTCCAGCTTTCTTAAGGTCTAATTGACAAAAATTCTACACTATCAAGGTCTGCAACATGATGACTTGGTCTATGTCTGTGACGTAACTACAACAATCCAATTCATTAACCCAACCATCTCCACACTGCGTTGCCGATTTGTGTGTGCATGTGTGTGCAGTGTGTGTGTGTGAGAGACTGAGAGAGAGTGAACACTTAGCGAATTCCAAGCAGATGAAACAGGATGATTTGCGTTCATCTTACCGTTCGTTAGAGCCCAGGGCTTACTGTGGACTACATAATTTTTTTCCTTTTTGTAGGGCTTTCAGCTTCTTCGTAGTCTTCTGAAAGGAATTCCCCTTCCTTATATCAAGATTTCCTCTCTGTGTTTATTCCAATACTTGCAGAATGTCTTGCAGTTTTTACACTGAAGTTTTAACTGACTTGGTGCCATTTTACTGCAAAGCCCCAGGTGGCCACCCAGATGTTCTGCCGCCATTCGCCATTCGCTGAATGTTCCCCCCCCCCCCCACCTGGCTCATTTACCACATCTCTGTTTGTATTTGGATCCACTTTTGGAGTTTCTGTTATTTTCATTGATTTCAGAACTGCACATTTAATTATTGTAGTCTTATGTTTTAATATCTGGTAGACTTATTGACTGCTGTCATTTTTTCATTGAAGATTTATTTATTAATCTATTTGAAAATCAGATATACACACACACATATATATATATTAAAAAAAGACGCACAGACACACATTTTCCATCCTGTTTCATTCTCCAAATGGATACAGTGCTGGACACATCCTGGAGCTGGGACATCTGAAGCCAGGAGCTTCTTCTGGGTCTCCCACAGGGGTGGCAGAAACCCAAGTGCTTGGGCCATCTTCTGCTGCTCTTCCAGGTCCATTAGCACAAACTGGATCAGAAGTGGAGCAGCTGGGATTTGAACAGGTGCCCTTGTGGGATGTCAGCAGAGCGGCGTAGGCTTACCCGACAGCAGCACAACATTCCAGCTGGGCACTGGCTCTATTCTCTATGCCACAGTTATGGCCCTGGCCTCTCATTTTGATCAATTTTTCTGAGTATTGTTACTTATCTGCCTTACTTTAAGCAATATTAGAACAGACTGCCTCTGTGTGTTTCTGTGTGATGACACACACAAAAATGTGTCAGTGACAGCTCTGACAAGTTGATGAATGCTTCTCACACAGGAGGTAAACTCTCAATTGTTAAAATATTTTTGTGTACTTCATTTAAAGCTTTTTGGCCACAGGTCTTGCCCTGGAGCCCATGTCTGCCACCTTGTGGCCACTTCTGACCTTTTTCAGATTGTATTAACCACTGAGAGGCCACCAGTGATATCTCATTAAAACAAAGGTCAGAATTAACAAACAACTGATGGTATTCTGCCATGGCTCCCTTTGAATATCTTTTTTTTTTTTTAATGCACATACGATCTATGTTAAAATATTACTAATGCAATTCAATATTTTTTGTTGAAAAATATAAAAATTTGTAATTAGGATGTTTCAGCTTATAATATACTAATACATTTCAGTGATAACTCAGTTTAGATTTTTTTTCTCACATTTAAAACTTTTGGTCATATTAAACATTCAAGCAAGCTTTTCCATATTTTTAGTTACAGATAATAAGAAAAAACCCTCTGAACATAAATAGATACTTTTAAAAGATTTATTTATTCATTGGAAAGGCAGAGTGAGGGATTTTTCATCTGCTGGGTCACTCCCCAAGTGGATGCAGTAGCTATTTCTGGGCCAAGCCAAGTCCAGAAGCCAGGAACTCCAACTGGGGTCTCCCACGTGGGCGTCACTGGCATCAGCAGTGAGCCAGATCAGAAACAGGCAGCCAGGACCTGAACTGGCATTCCAATATGGCATGTCAGCATTGCACGTGGAGGCTTAACTTGCTGAGTGTCAACACCAGTCCCGCATTCTTACGTAAAAATCTAAGTTAAGGGAGCAAAAAAAAAAAAAAAAAAAAGAATGATATACATTTTGCGATGCTAATGATGAGCTAGTTCATGGATACTTTAAACCACAAGAATGGAAACCAACCAAATTACCTAGCATTTATTTTCCACCAGATAATTTTAATTGAATATACAATTTTTTAAGATATCCATTTCTATAAGATAGAACAAATATTTACATTTTTAAAAGATGTATTTATTTTTATTGGAAAGGCAGATTTGTAGAGAGAAGGAGAGACAAAGAAAGATCTTCC